GCTCCGACCTGGTGGTTGAGATTGGTACGGAGTGTCTGGCCGTTCTTGTAAGGCAAAGGCAGTTTGAATGGCCTCTGGATCTGGCATGGGTATTGGTGAGGTATGTGATGGCGAAGTAGGTCGGGGCCATCGATGTCAAAACCATCTGTGAAGTCTATCCTACTACGCTTACTTCTAGGTTTGGATGGAATATAGAAGTAACGGCGATGGCATGCCTTCTGGGAGTTGTACGGACTAGTGACTATGTCCGTCTTGATGTTGATTCCCTCTGGTTCTCCACGATATAACACTGTCAAGCTGCTGGCAAATTATGAAGTCATTCTGTTCAGTAGTAGCCGAGGAAGTGTGAAGAAATTGTTTGTTCGACAACGGACAGACTGACCGAACAATATGAATGCAACATAGGCAACTCTAGGGATTTGTGTTGTGGGAAAGGTGGGCGATAATTATCCTTTAGACAGCTGTGACTAAAAAGTGAATATTTTATTTGATTCGTCTTCATGAAAATTTAATATTTTCAGGTAAGTGGGACAAGCAATAATCGAGAACTTGCCTGTCCCGTAGACTTATATTCTACATTGCTTATCATTCATACTTGTTTAAACCAGGTTATAATAGTCATTGTATATTTTATGTTTTGGAAGACCTTGAATAAACCAATACGTTTAGTCTCCAGTTGGTAGATGGTAAATTGTGCTTGCATATTGTGATATCTTTTATTTGTGTTGTTTGCAATTATATTATAGTATTAATTAATTCCGATTACAGGTGCTGAATATGATCTCACTTTACACACTCTATGCATAGGGAGAGTCAGCTTTGGGATCTGCACAACTTCGTCTGCATGAAATATCAACCCTTGCTAACTAAACATATGTTTCCACAAGATAAAGGGTCAAACCTTGATATATGAGTCATATTTTAAATGGAAATCTATTAGAACCATTCCATTTTCTTAATTATCTTGTGTTAAACATCGTGCAATGTGCATAGAAAGATGTCACGTGATACGACCTTTCCAAAAGAGGGACGAAAGATACCAGAGGGACAGTCAAACTCATAGATCGAAAACAAACTGACAACGCCATGGCCAAAAATAAAAAGACAAACAGACAAATAATAGTACAGATGACACAACATAGAAAACTAAAGACTAAGCAACACGAACCCCACAAAAAACTGGGGGTGATCTCAGGTGCTCCGGAAGGGTAAGCAGATCCTGCTCCACATGTGGCACCCGTCGTGTTGCTTATGTTTTTACAAATCCGGTAAATAGTCTAATTCGGTAGATCACATTCGTGAAAAGGGAAGGGTATTGTAGTTACGACATAAGAAACATATCCGATATCATCTGTGAAACGGTTATTCCATAACGGTCAACCAACTCGTGATGGCGTCCGTTAAATTTACAAAGGGGTGATTTCAACTTCACCATTTGGAACTCCTAGTTTAATAGCTTCCTTGTGAGCAGCAATCCTTTATCAAGGAAATCATGATAGGAAATACAAGCCCGGGAATATCGTATCAATTGGGAAATATACACTCCGTATGCAGGCGCTGCTGGAATGTTGCTACATAGAAATGGAAAGTTCACAATTGGGAAGCTGAAATCATCTCTTTTGTCGTAAAGTTTTGTTTTCAACCGACCCTCATTGTCAATTTAATTCTAGATGTAAGTCAAGATATGAGGCAGACTTAACTGTATCTGTAGTATCCTTTATCTCTAGTTCGATGGTCTAGATTCGTTCAACATAGTCACCAAATTTTGTATTATTTAGTGAGAGAACATCATCTATATAACATTTATATATCAACCTTCACATTGAAACAGTAACTATCTCGGAACTCTCCTGTAATCAACCATGTTTTGAATAAAAATGATTGACCAGCGTTATGCAAAACACAGAGACCATATCCTTTATGTTTTTCCCCAAATGTAGAAAGTTAAATATCATCGTTTATGCTTATTTGAAACTAATAACTTTTAGTTTAAATGTGAGTTGCATCGACCCTTGTCCATCCCACTGTTGATTGTCAATTTAAATACAATCTGAGGGATTGCAGAAATTCTCAATTAAGATTTAAATCGTTTACTAGTATATGAGGTCAACAGAAAAAAATTCATAGGCATGGCGAGATTAAATGCATAATGAGGTAACGCACAGTATAAAATGTATCGACATCTTTACAATAATTGCGTGTGGCCAAGTGTACTTCGTCAATTTTCAAATGGTGATAACTACGGGACTACGATCACGTCCATTTGGACCAATTTGATTAACAATTTTCGGAGGTAAGCGGGTTTAATATTAGCATTAACTGAACAGCTTATAGTCTTGCATTTTTGTATGTTGGAAACTGATAGTGAGGGTTGAAAGGGAACTGCAAAAACGATCTCAGAACATACATGTAAGTTTTAAATAAAAACCTGGATTTAAAAATCAGCAGATATGGACAAATGAACTTGCAACTTTTTTTAAAAAGCCGTACATAACACTTATCCTAGAAGTTATTAGGAACAAACGAACATAATAATAAAGTATAAGGCTGCGTAATTTTTTTCATAAAAAAATTGTATTTATGAGTAGATTTACGTTGACCGGTATCCAATTTGATGTTTTTATGAATACTTATGGCGAACGACTGTTTTATTTATAAAATCAAATTTAAAGACTGCCATTTTGCTAAAGTGAGAGCTAAACGCGACAGTTACCCTAATATATGATCACTCATAAAATATTAGGGACATATCATTTTTTTTATTAAATCAAAGTAGCATCAACCAACAAATGTTAATAACTGTGTAGACTATATGAAGATTTTGGAATGTGTACCTTGATAATTTTTCACCATATGAACGATCGACCAATCATGTAGCGATCGTGCAACTTTCGAAGTTAGCATCAACGCTCACTCAAGAAAATAATGATAGGAAAAGTAATGCCATGGTGGTGTCTTAGGGTTAAATAAGAGTCAATTTCAAGTCCGCTGTTGTGTAATGCCTTATCACTTGATATAGCTTATGAGTACATGCGATCAACCCGAGTTGTTGGTGGGGTTCGTGTTGCTCAGTCTTTAGTTTTCTATTTTGCGTTTTGTGTACTGTTATTTGTCGTTTATCGTTTTTTGCCATGGTATTGTCAGTTTGTTTTCGACTTATGAGTTTGAATATCCCTATGGTAGCTTTCGCCTCTCTTTTTATAGAATTTCGTATCAGCAACTGGGAGATATATAATCCATAAATTTTTTAACTCTCTATAAAAATGCAAATTCAAAATGGAAAGTTTGAATTCATCCGAATTGTTCTCTCTATCTTTGTACTCCATCTACCATTTTCGTGTTGTTTTATCACCTGATTACACAGTTTTTATGATATTTATTTTGTAGATAAATATATTTTATTAAAATCTAACAAGTTTTTTTTTGCCACAAATAATGATAAAGTATGTAGCAGAGCTATTCTCTATGATATATTGGTTATGTTTTTATTATAACTACTACTGGTGCCTCCTATACTATGTTCAAAAAGGAAAACATCTACATCAGCACATTTTTATATGTGCTAATTAAAATTGACAATAAATGATTATTCATTTTTATTTGTCTTTCCTGGTTCTTATACATATGAATATAGTTGCGTGTTCGTCTTGCAGTGTGTTCAATCACTATTCTTTGATTATAAATCAAATCGTTGGCTTAAATTCTAAAATTATTCACTTTCTTAAATGATATTGTATCAACTAAGTTTGATAATACAATCGCACAAAAAAATGATAAAAATTTTAGCTAACAATACAGTAACAACCTTAAAACCACATAATAATGACACCAGCAAAAAGTTATTCTAAACACTCGGGTTTCAGGCACGCATATCAGGTATGATATACTTTGAAATATTTTTCATCTAACAGGCCTACCATAGGTTGGGGTACATTCCAACATGTTGTGTCCTCTCCAGTAATCACGTCTTGTTTTTGTTCTAAATTTTGTATTTATGAGCAGATGTACGTTGACCGGTATCAAATTTGATGTGTTTACGAATACTTATGGCGAACGACTGTTTTATTTAAAAATAAATAAATTTAAAAACTGTCATTTTGCTAAAGTGAGAGCTTAACGCGACAGTTACCCTAATATATGATCCCTCATAAATTATTAGGGACATATATTTTTTTTTATTAAATCAAAGTAGCATCAACCAACAAATGTTAATAACTGTGTAGACTATATGAAGATTGTGGAATGTGTACCTTGATAATTTTTCACCATATGAACGATTGACCAATCGTGTAGCGATCGTGCAACTTTCGAAGTTAGCGTCAACGCTCACTCAAAAAAATAATGATAGGAAAAATAATGTCATGGTGGTGTCTTAGGGTTAAATAAGAGTCAATTTCAAGTCCGCTGTTGTGTAATGCCTTATCACTTGATATAGCTTATGAGTACATGCGATCAACCCGAGTTGTTGGTGGGGTTCGTGTTGCTCAGTCTTTAGTTTTCTATTTTGCGTTTTGTGTACTGTTATTTGTCGTTTATCGTTTTTTGCCATGGTATTGTCAGTTTGTTTTCGACTTATGAGTTTGAATATCCCTATGGTAGCTTTCGCCTCTCTTTTTATAGAATTTCGTATCAGCAACTGGGAGATATATAATCCATAAATTTTTTAACTCTCTATAAAAATGCAAATTCAAAATGGAAAGTTTGAATTCATCCGAATTGTTCTCTCTATCTTTGTACTCCATCTACCATTTTCGTGTTGTTTTATCACCTGATTACACAGTTTTTATGATATTTATTTTGTAGATAAATATATTTTATTAAAATCTAACAAGTTTTTTTTTTGCCACACATAATGATAAAGTATGTAGCAGAGCTATTCTCTATGATATATTGGTTATGTTTTTATTATAACTACTACTGGTGCCTCCTATACTATGTTCAAAAAGGAAAACATCTACATCAGCACATTTTTATATGTGCTAATTAAAATTGACAATAAATGATTATTCATTTTTATTTGTCTTTCCTGGTTCTTATACATATGAATATAGTTGCGTGTTCGTCTTGCAGTGTGTTCAATCACTATTCTTTGATTATAAATCAAATCGTTGGCTTAAATTCTAAAATTATTCACTTTCTTAAATGATATTGTATCAACTAAGTTTGATAATACAATCGCACAAAAAAATGATAAAAATTTTAGCTAACAATACAGTAACAACCTTAAAACCACATAATAATGACACCAGCAAAAAGTTATTCTAAACACTCGGGTTTCAGGCACGCATATCAGGTATGATATACTTTGAAATATTTTTCATCTAACAGGCCTACCATAGGTTGGGGTACATTCCAACATGTTGTGTCCTCTCCAGTAATCACGTCTTGTTTTTGGTCTAAATTTTGTATTTATGAGCAGATGTACGTTGACCGGTATCAAATTTGATGTGTTTACGAATACTTATGGCGAACGACTGTTTTATTTAAAAATAAATAAATTTAAAAACTGTCATTTTGCTAAAGTGAGAGCTTAACGCGACAGTTACCCTAATATATGATCCCTCATAAATTATTAGGGACATATATTTTTTTTATTAAATCAAAGTAGCATCAACCAACAAATGTTAATAACTGTGTAGACTATATGAAGATTGTGGAATGTGTACCTTGATAATTTTTCACCATATGAACGATTGACCAATCGTGTAGCGATCGTGCAACTTTCGAAGTTAGCGTCAACGCTCACTCAAAAAAATCATGATAGGAAAAATAATGTCATGGTGGTGTCTTAGGGTTGAATAAGAGTCAATTTCAAGTCCGCTGTTGTGTAATGCCTTATCACTTGATATAGCTTATGAGTACATGCGATCAACCCGAGTTGTTGGTGGGGTTCGTGTTGCTCAGTCTTTAGTTTTCTATTTTGCGTATTGTGTACTGTTATTTGTCGTTTATCGTTTTTTTGCCATGGTATTGTCAGTTTGTTTTCGACTTATGAGTTTGAATATCCCTTTGGTAGCTTTCGCCTCTCTTTTTTATAGAATTTTGTATCAGCAACTGGGAGATATATAATCCATAAATTTTTTAACTCTCTATAAAAATGCAAATTCAAAATGGAAAGTTTGAATTCATCCGAATTGTTCTCTCTATCTTTGTACTCTATCTACCATTTTCGTGTTGTTTTATCACCCGATTACACAATTTTTATGATATTTATTTTGTAGATAAATATATTTTATTAAAATCTAACAAGTTTTTTTTTGCCACAAATAATGATAAAGTATGTAGCAGAGCTATTCTCTATGATATATTGGTTATGTTTTTATTATAACTACTACTGGTGCCTCCTTTACTATGTTCAAAAAGGAAAACATCTACATCAGCACATTTTTATATGTGCTAATTAAAATTGACAATAAATGATTATTCATTTTTATTTGTCTTTCCTGGTTCTTATACATATGAATATAGTTGCGTGTTCGTCTTGCAGTGTGTTCAATCACAATTCTTTGATTATAAATCAAATCGTTGGCTTAAATTCTAAAATTATTCACTTTTTTAAATGATATTGTATTAACTAAGTTTGATAATACAATCGCACAAAAAAATGATAAAACTTTGAGCTAACAATACAGTAACAACGTTAAAACCACATAATAATGACACCAGTAAAAAGTTATTCTAAACACTCGGGTTTCAGGCACGCATATCAGGTATGATATACTTTGAAATATTTTCATCTAACAGGCCTTCCATAGGTTGGGGTACATACCAACATGTTGTGTCCTCTCCAGTAATCACGTCTTGTTTTTGGTCCACAGTTGTGTAGAAACGATAAGTATGACCATCTCCAACTTCCAAGAAATGACCATGTTCATTACCCTGGTCATCCAATGTAATCTGGAACAGCTTTGTCGATTTGTGTACAAGTTCTCCTAAAACAACACATTTTACAATAAAATTATGTGACAACTAAAGCTGAGGTTAGTATTTTTCCTCATCACTTTTGCAATACAAGTATTAACATGACACATGAGATATAAAAACCCGCCATATAAAGATTGGCCTGTCCTAAGTCAAACACCTCCTTGACTAAAACATAACAATGGGATTAACAAAGTCGTTTTCTTGACACCAAGCAGAAAAGATTATTTTCTGTACATTCTTTTATAAAAATAAAATATCTAAAATGTCTCTCCTTTTAGGCAATACCGAAATATTTAACAAAAATATCTTTACTATCATGACACATGAGATATAAAAACCCGCCACATAACCATGGGCCTGTCCCAAGTCAAGGAACTCCTTGATTTAAACATGAAAATGGGATTACCGAAGTCGTTTGACACCTAGCAGATAAAATAATTTTCTGTACATTCTTTTATAAAAATTAAGTATTTAAAATGTCTCTCCTTCTTAGGCAATACCAAAATATTAAAAAGATATCTGTATGTGTGAAAATAAATTAGTACCACATACAGCCTTACGATATGATAATAGCATTTTGATATATGATTTTTATAAAGTTCCTCACCAAGTACCCCTGATGCAAACTGTGATATCCCTGTTTCTTTTTCTATATAGATGTTCAAGTAACTCAATGCCATTTTTGTATCCTGTTTCATATGTCGTCTGATGGTAACGATGATGTCATTTCCAAAGTCAATTGTCATAGTTCTGTCATGGCGACCAACAAACTTGACGATGATAGCAACATTTTCCATTCGAAAAACGTCTTTGTCATCCCAAGATAGGGATGCACCATTGAAATAAATGCTACTTGGTTTCACTATTATTTCCACAGATGGCGCACGTAAAACAAGTTCACCGAAGAATGTTTTCAAGTCTCCGTGTTCATTTCTAGCTGTCGATTCCACAACTCCAGCATTAATAGTTACACCTTTAGAAATATTAAAAGGAAAAAAACGTAATATGTTTTGTTATAGTTAGTGCTTTAAAACTGGAGTGAGAAATGAAAGATATGAAACTATATCTATTTTAGAATAAAAAATGTTCTAAATACAGAAATTTTGAATTTTATAGAAGAGAACTAATAATTATTCAATTGGTATTGTACCGAGCGATTTGAATAAATCACAATAGTATTACCAAGAATGCCGAGTATCAAAAGCATTGTTAAAAGTATCATGACCATAACTACCAACATGGTTGCTTAAAAAGACCTATGCCCTCGGTCATAAAACTTAACTCAGTACTCGTAGTACAAAATATGTGCTCGAAACATCAAATCGCAGTTTTTTAATTGGTTAATTTCTGAGTCTGAATACAATAATAGTGCTCGAAAGTTTTTTGACCGCATGGCCTGGATGTCATATCAAATTAAAAGTTATAACTTTCTTCATCTTGTCGCAAAAAATTAATTAATAATATCATTAATTAAATGATTAATGTTTTTATGGGAACATAAAAGGAGAAGGTATGATAAGACCGCCTTTTTTCCCCCTTGATTTTGAAAATCATGGAGTATTTCAAATCTATCAAATAACATTCTTCTTTCTTCTTAGTATGTAGTCGTGTATGTTTTTTTTTTTTTTAATTTTAGTCCATTTATATGTTTCGGAGTATAGTGTGACGTCAATTTTTACTGAACTAGTACACATTTTTGTTTAGCCCGCCTCCGGGCGCGGGATTTTCTCGCTGTATTGAAGACCCATTGGTGGCATTGGGCTGTATCATGCTCTTTGGTAGGGTTGTTGTCTCTTTGACACATTCCCCATTTCCATTCTCAATTTTATTCAGATGTTTATAAGACATTAGTCTGTAAGATATCAGTATTCAATTTTTTTTAATTTTGTTAAACATATTTACAGTAGAGCTTCAAACTTCATTGTTTTTGGTGCAAAATTGCACACAGACTGCTAAAACAACCTAGTTGTGATATCTTGTAGATAATATTAAGATATGAGCCAAGGATTTATCAACAAATATATTTTGCCACAAAATTCAAATGCTGCTTCCCATAACATTCGAGTATCTGATCACACCACTTATTTCTATGTTAATTTTTTTATTAAAACTTGAACTGTTATGTTTTCATATCTACTAAACTGTTGACGAAGCCTACATTCGATTTTATTTAAGAAATGTTAAATATTTGACATTTGGAAGGCTTGATGGTAAAATATAATGAAATATAAACTAAATATATTCTCAGATTAAAATTTATATAAATCTATTTATTACGAATTTTCATTGAAAAAAATCGCATTCTTACATTTAATATGACATTTCAAGCAGATTTTTGACTGATATGGTCTCCTTCATTGCTGTTTTTGATCAATTGTTGGTATATAAACGTCCAGAGGCAGACATTTCATATATGCTAAGAACGCGTACTTATTGTTGAATAAATCATCAAAAAAGTGTAACTGGAATAAACAAAAATCGCACGTGCGTCTGTAATAACTGTTTGAAATATTCATAAAAGCTATATAACTGTTTGTTATACTTCTTCTTTCAAGTAACAAGGGTTCTTTTTCTACCTTACTGATGTTGTGTCAGTTTCATTTCGAACTATCTCTTAATGTAAAATCTCACGTTAATTTCTATCTACATTATCTTCGTCATGAATATAGTCTTTACTTAAAAATTTCAATAAGTTAACTGACTTTCAGGGGAATACGAATTCTTTGGAATTGACCAACTATACATTTACTATTTTTGCACAACTTTTTTAGCGGGGTGACGTATGAATTCAAGAGTATTACAAAACAAGAAAACATTTAAAAAAAACAGTACCTGACACTGGGTCTTTCACCAACTGGAGGATTTCACCATTCTTTGTTTTAATATTAAAACAGACGGGTAACTCTAGATCCTTCATGCGAACCATAAAGTGTGGATCTCCGCCAGCTAAAACAGGATACACATTTCATAGTTAAATATTATTGTTTAATAACATATTTTAGTATGTATATTTGAAGTTTTTTAGAAGGAAATCTTTAAAATTTCAATATAACATAACATTTGTCTAGAACAAATTGGAACACATCTTTAAGGCATTCCAACTAAATTTTCCAGAGTTTAAAGAGGAATAGAAAAATATGATGTAAACAATAGCAACATTTGTATTAGCATCAAAAAAGCAAAACTCGTACGCAAATCGTTGTATGCTCTTGCTGGACTAAGATTTTGAATATCATATAAATGCATCCTCTATTTCATTATTGTTTCTTTTTTTCTTTGTTATCTGTAACATAGAGCAGAATAACCATTGCAGAAAAATACTATTTTAACCGTTTGATGTCAGAATTACTACAGAAAAACCGAGAAAATACAGTCATGAAACCGATCTCAAATGTATATATAAAAAAGAAGATATATATATAGTTTAGGTATAATTTATGACAGATATACTCCTTAAAGGGGCATTAACTGCCAAATTCATTTCCACTTAATTGACTCAAACTCTTAAATTTCATTTATATCACACTAAAATATTTTTTTTCAAAATTACAAAATTTCCATACTAGGAAACAATAAACAATCATGCATGAAATTTTAATAAAGTATCAGCAATATGTGCGTATTTAAGAACTAGACGCCATCTAAAGTAACACCGCGAATACCTACGATGGTCATGTGATCCTAAATAAACTAACTAGATATAAACATAAAAAGACAGACGAGAGGTCGCAATAGTGTACATTTGATCGTTTCTCTATTTATATTTATGTTCAGTTACTAATGATGATTTTTCAAGTCGCCTTTACAAATAATGATTGCTTTAAGTTAGACACTTGATATTAGGATTGCAATGTGTCTTATAACTCTTACATGTAGTAATGCCGAGTAGTTATATTTACATGTAAGTGATGTATATTTTTCACAGAATTTTATAATCTTAATCACAAATAAATGTTATCCTTAAGTAAATACTTTTATGACGTTGCATTTTTTAACAAATGAGTCGGATGCATTAAAGACATTGTACATTATTGTCATCAATGGACACCGAAGAGCTTAACATTTTCCCAAGTTTCCTTACCCAATACAAGTTGTTCACCTAGATATAGATCTGATAAAAATACAGATTTTGTGTTCAAGCTTTTCTTACAACGATCTGACAACACTCCGTTTTACTTTCTGTTCTGGTAAATGTTACATCAGCCAATGACATTTTAGCCTTCAAAGTATTGAAGGTGAGTTATAGTCCGACAAAATCAGAGGATCGAGAAAGATAGTAGAAACAGAAAGTAGAATGCAATGTTTTCAGATCCTTGTAAGCAAAGCTTGGACACAGAATCTGTATTTTAGTCAGATTGCATCAACATTAATCTGACAATGCCTGTGTAGACTTCGTTACTGTATGTTAAAGTACCTCCACCACTGTAACTTCCTCTCGACAGGTCATACATCTGTAGAGGTTGCCTAAAAGCAACAATCCCAGATGGTCCATGGTGCTGTGTTGGAGAACTTGTCAAACGTGGTCCATGGTGCTGTATTGGAGAACTTGTCAAACGTGACCCAGTAGACAGTGCAACTAAAACAAGTAAAACTAGGAATTAACATACTCATTAACGATACTTTTATTCTAGGATCGACGTTTGTGAAATATTTTCTCTTAGTAATTAAATCATTGATTCATGTCGTTTGTTCACCTATTTCAGGTAAACTTGATAAATTAACCGATTTTTGTTCTAGAATGGAAAAAGTTTAATACTTAGTCTTACTTTTTGAAATTGTAATTTGTAATCTGCCGTAACGTAGATATTATACCTCTTTCTTTGAAATTTACTACATTTTATGAAATATGAATTTGTTTTATAAATCATGGAAACATCTAGGCTATCAGTTTGTTGATATTGAAATCATAACTTTGAAAAAAATCTTGTTAATACTTCAATAATCAGCAAATTAAAAAATACCCGTGTTCCAATATGAAATTAGGAAGTGCACCATTTAATATTAAGTATTTAGCGTTTTTCTACATTATTGCTAGTTTTTTACTTTTTTTTTTATCTGCTTTAATTCTGATTCTTCATTTGTTCATAATGTGCATCAAACCGGTTTGAAATAAATAAGACATGGTTTATGATAAACAAGACATTATTCATAATAATTTCCTAGCTTCATGATCAGCTAAAATGTGTTGCATTACTACCTAAATAAAGGCAACAGTAGTATACCGCTGTTCGAAACTCATAAATCGATAGAGATAAAAACAAATCCGGGTCACAAACTAAAACTGAGGGAAACGCATCAAATATAAGAGGAGAACAACGACTTAACAAAAACACAACATTAAAATGTAACACACACAGAAACGAACTATAATATAACAATGGCCATTTTCCTGACTTGGTACAGGACATTTTAACAAAAAAAATGGTCGGTTGAACCTGGTTTTGTGACATGCCAAACCTCCCGTTGAAATTAGTTGAAATTAGTTTCCATATTTCTGTGAAAATTATCTCAAAAACAAAAGAAAATTTAATTTAAAGGAAAAACAAACTATAAATTGATAATAACTATAGTTCAGTCTGATGTTCATTATATATATGTAGAGAGAGATTCAATGTATGTTCAAATAAATAGTACGAAAGCTGTTTTAATCAACAATTAATATTGTAAAATTTCCCTAAGAAGTAATTCAATTTTTACTTCATTTCTAAAATAAATAACGTGAATGGAGGGGCGACTATTGCAGTAGCAGAAACCAGATTTGTCAGGTTTTTTTTTTGTAAAAAGAAGCTGTATATGTGCCAGTGATACAAGTGCTAGTGTGAATTTAATATTGAACAGTTCAAGGAAAAACGATAAGTGGTAGGAACTGTTTACCCTTCCAGAGCACCTGTGTTCACCCAACCATTTTGCTATGCAGTGTTTGGATTACGTTTCTTGTATTGTAATCGTTTTTATGTTAGCCACGGTGCTGCTGTTGGTTTTTTTTTTTCATGTATAGTTTTTTATGACAGCAGCGGTATCTTCTTCAAAGTGTTTCATTATGGTGTGTTTGTAGGAAAGTTAAAAAATAATTGTTCTTACGTTGAGCATCTTCATTCTCTTCGAATGATCCGACATCTTTTTCATCAGGTTTTGTAACGACCATGGATGTCAAAGGTGTAACAAACTTATACTGTAAATAAAAAATTCTTTTAATTTGTAGTGTTAAGGTAACCTATGCCATTTTACTCTTTTCTATTTATTAAAAAGCCTCGTAAAGATTACATTTAAAATTATAGTACTGTAGTGCTGGAATAGCAATTTCAAGTAAGATATGTTTAATTATCACATAAAAAAAGATACCATGCTGTTAATAGTAATTAAATCCTAATATCCAATTTATTGAAAACAATTTTTTTTTTTAAACCCAAAAAAAAGATGACGAGCAAATGTATTTCATGTAATCTATACCTTAAGAGAAAGATCTAAAGCTCTTTGATTCAATTGTGTTTTTTCTTCATCATTGTCAACTTCTATTGCAGACTCCAACAGTTGTTTTATTGTTAAATATGCCCATATTCTTTCTGTAATTTTGTGGAAGTCCTTAGGTTTTGTCAGTTCTGGAACACCTTTGTTTACAACTGAATCAAGAGACAGTTCTATATGGCCATCAGAACCGTCTCCAGTTACAACCAAATCCACTTCATTGACATTATCATCGGACATTTTACCAGCAATGATTAATTCCTTTCCATCAAAAAACGTATCAAAATTCAGCCTTGTAACATTTTCAACAACTTCATCGTCTTTTCCAAGATATTTAAATGTTAAATTTTGTAACGTCGCAGACGATATTTCATCATAAAATCCTTTTATTTGCAAAGAAGAATCTGAATCTTCAAAAATTCTTCTGGCAATGCCTTTGTTCTGAACAGCAAGCTTCTTAATGAATGTGTAATCAGCATTATTTCCAAATGCAAGGCTGAACATTGTTATCCCCTTTGTGTTATATGTTTTCACATTTTTCAGAATTGTATTGCTGCTTGTTCGTGCTCTTCCATCAGTCAGAAATACAATCAGTTTGATGCGTTGACTCTCGAGTTCTACGTTATTTAGAAATTGTATTCCTTTCTTCAAGGCATCATTAGCTCTTGTTCCTAATCCAAAAGTAATCATATTTATTAATACAATTATCGCTTATTAAGCTTTCTCGCATCGTAAGAAGAATAATTATTGAGTAAACTAGTATATCGTACTTTCAAATTATATTCAGCATTGATGTGGACCAGAACATGCTTATTCTGACCTAGTAGTTCTTCTGTGTCGTATTCTCAACATTTTTTTCGTCTACAAGACAACAACAAAATTGCAGAAAACCGCCTACCTGTAGTCTTTTGTTTATGTAATCTTGGCTATTCTTTTGTCATGTTGTAAAACCGAAAAAATATGTTTTTTTGTATGGGGGTGAGTATTTTATTTTCTACCCTTTTCTATGAAGGAAGGGTGCTTTTGTTTATTCGTTTTATTAACTTGTTAATCTAACTTACATCAAGATATGGAAACTTTTTGGACGTAAAACTCTTTTGGGGGATGAGAGCAATCATCATCAAAACTACTCGCTTAGAGTACGGTAGTCATGGGTTCAATCCCCGGTTGGGTAAAACTAAAGACTGGAAAATTAATATTTGGTGCTTTTCCGCTAGGGATGCAGCATATTGTATGAGGAGCGAAGACCAATCGACTCAGAGTCAGAATAATGTGTTTCGGTAAGGTGATATGTCTTCCTGCGTACTGTTACCATGTGAACTAGCAAGTTTTAAATCGGTCCCACCGTGTCGGTCTAGTAAAACGCAGGATTATCATCATCATCATCATCATCATCATCATCATCATCATCATCATCATCGTCGTCGTCGTCGTCATCGTCGTCGTCGTCGTCGTCATCATCATCATCGTCAACGTCATCATCGTCAACGTCAACCTCCTCGACGTTGTCGTGGTGGTCGTCTAAAAGTTAACAAATTTAACTATTATTTAATCTTTTAATAACTCGTTTGGTCTTTAACGACATATGAATTGTATATTGATAGGTAAATGACTGAGGTTACCAGAGAAACTATATTATTCCACTGTTTAAACATATTGATAGTTTAATCAATATTTGATTGGTTGATACTATCCCACGTGTCATTGAACAAATCTTCATATTCCATTCTGAGGATCATATTCCCCTCTGAAATGTCGGGATTACTTCGTGCGACGTTACGCGCGGTTAATGTACATAACGTTATGAACTTCTTATTCTTTTCTTAAAATAGCGATAGCAAAAATCATGATCATGTTCAAATTTATTTCAGACGATAAAACAAAAAGACTTATAATTAAATTTTGATCCTTACTGTTTATCAATGGGTAAGTCGTGTTTACGGTTTGACTTACAAAAACAAGCGGATAAGAAAACAAATGTATGCAAAATAATATTTAATGTATTGATAGTAAACAAAGCATAGGCAGTGGAATAAAACATTCATTTCCCTTTGCCTCGGGAGATATGAAGATTTGCTCACCCTCGAAAAATCATATTTCCCTCGGGCAGAGCTCTCGTGAAATATGAATATTCTTGGGTGAACAAATCTTCATATCTCCCTCCGGCACGGGAAATAAATGTATAATATTCACTTTTAACCGCTGCATTCGTTATATGTACAAAATCAGGTATTTAACCAAAATGTTTTCATCGTTCGTCCTTTTTGTAGTTTTTTCTTTGGCCTTTCATTTATTGTTATTACAGCAGACACAATCATCTTATTTGTTGTAATATGTGATCGAAAATTGGGTAGAAAATAACTTATATTGTATAAATTAGACCCAAAAATTTAGTGATTGTAAATTTGGGAAAATATGGTTTTTTGGTATAGGGACAATTAACACAATTTTTTTATTATCTATTCCTAAAAATTCAGGTGAATTTGGTACAGATGTCTTCAGTGTTTTTTAATTCCTCGCTTTATTTACATGTTTTCTGCAGCTATATACAATAATAAAATCTAGTACTATATATATATATATAGTATGCGAATAATCAAGGTTACCTCCATTTGCGTTCATCTTTTGACTAAACTCTCTTGCATTCTGTGTTGTGTTGCTATTTACAAAAACCAGAGACTTCTGCCAAAGTTTAGAATTTGAACTGAATTCCATAATATTGAATCTGTCATCTTCGTTTAAGTCTTGCAAAATCTTATCCATGGCGTCACGTTGTTGTTGGATTTTCACTCCCAACATTGAGCCACTTACGTCAAGAATGAACAGAATGTCTTTAGGAATCGGTTTCATACCAGACGGTGCAAAGAAGTGGACAAAGTATCCATCGACAACCTAAAATGATAATAATAATGATAAGTATTCACATTAATACCTGCAACAAAAGTGCTAATAATTATATAATAAAAATGATATCTGGCGATAAGTTTAATTGTACATTTACTATGTATCAGTGGTGAAACGTATGCAGTGAATTATAGAATAACTAATCGAAGTATTCAAATATAGAAAAATATTCAACGAATGACCAAACAACACATTAATTCCCGAATGCGCGTAGCGCATGCGTAAATTATCAGTGTTTTTTGGTCAGGAGTTGAATATGCTTCGATATTTGAATTCTTTGATTAGTTATTCTTTTTATTACATTGACAATGGGCTTTTTAATGGATTTAAAGTAGAAAATGTACGGAACTTTATCTTTTACTATGCATTCACAATTTGTTTTTATGCAGCGTCATCGGCAACGTCTTGACAACACCTATTGTTGTATGACGTCAGAGGAGTGAAATAATATCAGATTATTACATGGCATTTTTCATATCAAATGTATTATCAGCCCAAGGTTCAATATCAGCTCAAGAGCCGAAGGCTCGAGGGCTGATAATACATCTCATATGAAAAATGACATTTGTTTTTTTATCATATGCTTCAACAAGGGAGAAAAATAACAGTTTAATATATTGATCCTTTTAAGTGGTTCTCAAGTTGAAGTTTAAAGAGTGAAAAGTTTATGGACGACGTATCCCAAATGTAATACATCCGATATGAAATCTTTCTATCATATGCCTCAACAGAGAAGAAAAACAACAGTATAACATATTCTTATATTGACGATAAAAAAAAATCAACAAAACATAATGAACACTGATTGGAAAAGTCAACATTCGTAAAGTAACTTGCTGAATTATGCTGTAAACTTTGAAAAATGCATTTATTGTATCATTTGTTTTGCATTTTACATCATGTATTTTCCTGTTTCCTTATATTTGTTGTGTACCCTACTTTGTTATGTTTTTCACTGAAAACGTACCTTTGGGGTGTATTTTCCGGAATTTGCCGAGTAACGATGGAATTCCATGCGATAACGTTACGGAAAGGAATGTGATAAAAGCCGTAAGCAGTTGATACATTTTTCGTACCTGCCCGCTAAGCACCATTTCGGAAAATATGGAATCCACGTAAATTTAATGCTATTATCATACTGTAAAAATTATATGTTATTTACTCTAAGTATATGATAACCGAGTTTATGTCACATCTGGAATTATCGGGTTTTATTTCACTGGGAAATCACGATAAGTCATTGCAACCAATGTAATACTCGTTAATATAATATGAAAGTGTTCAAATATACATGATAATAAAGTTGTATTATGAATTTACGCATGGGGTGTGCAATTTGAACTTAGCTCATGCACATACTTGCTCTTGAGGTTGAATGTCCGACCCTATTTTGCCTTTTTTACAGGAACGCCAATTGTGTGCATGGCATATGTATTATATGTTTTCTTTACAGTGGTAAAGAACAATACACACAGTATTAAAACATACGATTTTGCAATAATGATATGAAAATATGGATATGGTTCACTTTAAATATGCTGTTGTAAAATTTTCTTTAAAAGGAAATAATTCAAAAGAAAGGAAGGAATCTCCCTCGTGTTTAGCTCTGATTTCTTCTCCGAGTTTGGCTTTAACTTTTAACCTTTTTGGTTTTAACAGCTCTTCAACGTTTGTATTAGGTTTGTAAACATTCTAATACTTTATGTGTTGGCTCTCCTCACTGGTAGTCTCGAGCCCACTCGATGATAAGTCATTCCAGAAACATGTTTTGTTTTGGCACGGGCATCATATTAAATGTTTATACCTTCTGAAAGTGATTAATATCGTAAAAAGTATCTAAGTGTATAAGAATCATTTATAGTTTTTTTTTATAACCACTGAGTCGATTCTGCTGCTGGTGGGTGTTTCCTCACCAAGGATATCACCACCCTAGTAGTCAGTAGTTTCATGTTAACATGAATTATCATTGATATTATCATATTTATAAATCAACTGTTTGAAAAACTTTGAAATGTTCGAAATACTAAGAGTTTCCTAGCTAAGGAACAGATTACTACCTTAGCTGTATTTGGCAAAACCTTCTGAAATTTCAGGTCCTTAATGCATCTCAACTTTATGCTTTATTTGGCCTTTAAATGTTTGGATTCGAGCGTCACTTATGAGTCTTTTGTAGACAAAAATTGCGTCTGAGGTACAAAATTATAAAAGCTGGTATCTTAGATGAGTTTATTTTACTAGTTGCTAATTTTGAAAATAACTAAGGGATGCTTTTTAACATACAGCTATTATGTATGTATATTCATAAAGATCTGCCGATGTGTTGCAACAACTGCAAATTATATCTAGCTCATAGCATTTCCCTTCATAAGGAAATTCATATTTTAAGTTTTATTAATAGAACGATAAAATCAGCATAAAAATATAAGATCTGATTTTATTTTTCTTATTTTCCACTCCCCAATCCGTATTTTTCTATAATTTCATAGGAGGTTTTATCAAAATAACAACGTTATAGTAAAACTAGAATGTAATAATTTCTGAAACATGTCATTGTCACGCTTTTATGCTAATCTTACCAAAACCTCTCCGCCATCAAATTTTCTTTCAACGTCATATTCAATCACAAAGAGCCCAGATATTCCTTGGTCGGATTGCTGTTTTTGGTCATCTGTAGTAGGTGCATAATGAATCATCGCTGATTTTGTTGTTGGCCGATTAATCGTCACCAAAGCATTCTTGCCTTCTAAAACATCAAATACGCTATGACTTACCATGTGGCATGTACCATCATAATTATATATTAAGTTGTCTCATTTACATTTAGAAATTGTTATCATTGTTTTTTTCAATTTTTTCAGAATGATTTATAATATAGCTGTATATAAACAAAAATGGATAAGCAAACCTAATCAAATTTCAAACATACGCTACAGCTACGTATCAGCATTGTATGCAGCCTGTGTGCCCGTAGCTATATAATGTATTTGACTTTAGTGTGTGTTTGACAGTTTGTGTGTGTGTGTGTGAAGAGAAAGGATAAAAAAGAAGTGATATATTAATCCTATAATATTTGATGATGTACCACATACCAAATATCTTATGTCACATATTTGATGGGACGCTTCACAAAACCCAAAAATATATAAAGTTTTGGAAATGACTTCTTCGAATGTTTTGAACTTTAGTACTAAAAAATGTTTGATTTACAGAAACATTTAATCATCATTAACGTTTTATTCGATGCAAACTTGCATACTTTGATTTTCAGGATCAAAACAGTACAGTGAAACTTTATGATTCTATTCCGTTTTAAAATCTCGTAGTGGGGGCCTTGTGATAATGTTTTGATTTTTTTGAATGTCTACATTGTTGGAGGTTATATCTCGTATTTTTATTTCATGATTTCCATGATAGAGGGTTCGCTCTTCAAGGAAGCTTTTGGCTCCTATTGGTAAAGATAAATTAATCCATTCGAAAGTTTTACAGACGCCATCTACAGTTGGTTGACCACTATGGAATATACTTGACCACGGATATGTTCCAATTATCGTATGCACAATTCCGTCCTCTTTCATTTGATTGTGACTTCACAAAATAAGACTGATCACCGATTGTGTACTTACTATGAGCAACACGGCGGGTGCCATATTTGGAGCAGGATCTGTTTACCTTCTGGAGATCCTGAGATCACCCCGTTTTTTGGTGAGGTTCATTTTGCAAAACTTTTTTTTTATGTATTGCACTGGTTTTGTCGGTCTCTTATCTAGAGTTTTGATTGTTCCTTTTGGTATCTTCCGACGTATTTTTTTTTTTTTGTGTCATTTCATGCATAATGTGGTTTGATGATGGATCAGAACCAGTAATATATTATCATGCTTACGTCATGCATTGTATGTATGCCAATGCTGTTTTCTTACCATCAATACTATTGTCAGAAATGATGTCATTTCTAATTGGTGGCACAGAGACTTTAGTGATATCCCTTGACTCGTGTATAACCACGTCTATCTTGAAATCTTCTACTACCTGTCCGGGGTCAATATATATGATATGCTCATATTCCCCGTATACCCGTTCCAATAATTCTTGATAAGTCAGGTTGAATGTTACTGTACTCTCGGCTGCAATGTTAACATCAACACTAAACCGGTTGGTATGCCTAGGCCTGTAACGATAGCTCAGTGTTAGTAAAATAGAAACAAAGGCTGTTAGCAATGTTAAAGGGTGATCAATGCAATCTAGATTTGAGGCTTACATATGTATGACAATCATTAAGAATTAATCAAATTGGGCCAAATATCCCTTAAACAAAAGTGTCACTCTTTCTGTACGCTGCATAACCTTTACAACTCTACGAGGGGTCTATTTGATGGCCGAAACCCAACATATCCTTATTTTAATAATGGCATGGAAATGTTTCCCGTTCTTAAATCAGTCTACTATCTCTGTAGACATTAATTATAAGAGAAATTGTTGATATGTGCTGGCCCTGAATGTGCTTGAACTGTATTGGCCATAGAACGTTCTATCAATATATTACTGTGTAATTAGAATACCGAAACTTTGCTCTAGTATTGGATTTCGTGTCTGAAAAAGAATGCCAAGAAACACAAAGGGACATTTCAAAGAAGATCATGTAAACTTTACAAAAATTGGTATCCGACGGACAACGTGAATCCACAGAAATCGAACTCGCTGTAACCAAAATGTTCAAGGGATTCTAAAAGAATTCTAAAAGAATGTTCCGTGCATATTGCAAAAAAAAAAACCTGAATAATGAGAACATACTAGGTGAAATTTATAGACTGTGCATAGTATCTTCAGAATGAATTGTTGACGTGTGCAGAAATAGATAATCCCCTTCCTAACACTTACACATCCTGACTGCACTACTCGATTGTGTTCGTATTGTGTTAGGATGCAATAAAATTGCAACATTAAATCCTGATCAATTTTATAAAAAACTATTTTGTTAAGTTTGTTTGAAAATCTCCGTTAACATTTTGATGGAATTCTAATACCAACATCTATCTAAATACGCGCAACGCTTGTTTCGTCAATAACCATCAAATCGATACGTTTGAATTATCTAAAACACATACAAGTCATTAACAATAAGAGTCAAGTCCACCTACACTTGTGGACAATAAAGTTTAAGGTTTGTTTTTAAATTCACAAAACAAATAATTATTTCAAATGAAAGATTTGTTTGTCTTTAAGAAATCATTATATTTCTAATAATGCCTAGTTGTGTACGTACTTTTGTGAAACGATTCCGGCTGTTTGTCCCTTTTTCTTTGCTGTTTCGTACTTTTTCTTTGCTTTCTCCTTCTCATTGATTACTCCTGGATATAGTTTACCATCGATCTTCCTGTTTATTTAATGATCAAATTATTAGCCACAATTAAATGGATCGGACACAACTTTTGACAACTTATTAAGTTTTCTCCCATATAACATTACACTTGAACAAAAATAATCTGAATATACCTGAGCATACTTATACATTTTATAATAAAATATGACGACACATACAAAATTATTTGCTAAGAACATTGTGCATTAATGCATGACATGAAATCCAAGAATCGGGGCTTCTGTCGTCGTTCTTTGTCTTTAAGTCACGTAAACGCTGCGTCTATGTTTTGAAACACACTCATACATATTATGTTTACATTTGAATACTTATAGCCCTAGACATCTTAATTCTCAATAATTTTTACATTAAAACAGTTACCTTTTCTGTTGTTACTAACGCGATCATACTATTTAAACTTTAGTACCAAAGATAGAACAGAGAAATGTCAACTGACATCGTTTAATTGTATACGTTAACTAGTGCACATGTTTGTTTAGGGACCAGCTGAAGCCCGGCTTCGGTTGCGGGATTTTCTCGCTGTGTTGAAGACCCATTGGTGGCCCTGGGCTGATTTTTTTTTGTTTTTTTTTTTTTTTTTTGCTCTTTGGTCGGGTTGTTGTCTCTTGGACACATTCCCCGTTTCCATTCTTAATTTCATTTTCATCTTTATATTGAATGATATCAATTAGAAAAGTAAATATAATCTTAAATGAACAATATTAGTCTGAAAATGGCGGACTCACAACAGGTCTCATTGGTGAAGGAAACCAGAGCGCCCGAAATAAACATTCGAATCTATCAGTCATATTATACCAGAAGATCGCACGCCTTTTCCTGTTTCTAAAATTTTTGTCATTTTATATATCAATTTATAAAAAGGTGGACCCATCTTCCCTGAATTCATTTCACACTGATACCCTATCCAAAAAGTACGTCTGTCTTTACAAAAATATTCAGTATAAAATCTTTATATATAAAAATGAGAAGATGTGGTATGATTTCCAATGAGTCAACTCTGCACAAGAGACCAACTGACATAGAAGTTAACAACTATAGGTCAGCATACGGCACTCGACAATGAGCAGAACCAATACCGCATAGTCAGCTATAAAAGGCCCCGAATGACAAGTGTAAAACAATGCAAACAAGAAAACTAACTGCCTGATTTAAGAACAAAACAATGAACGAAAAACAAATGTGATATACAGCAACAAACGACATCAACTGAATTACAGGATCCTGACTTGGAACGGTCACATTATATGCATACTGTAATGAATGTGTAACCTAGTTATTGATACAATGAACCTAAAGAATGTTATATTCTTCAATATTGAACAATTTCGGCTATTTTCGAATATTTATCGAAATTGAAGGGACGTTTTTAATCAATACCAACAATTTATAGTAGTCAAATCTATGTTTTCTCGTTCAGTTACAAATTTGTTAAATATTCTAACGAAGGTTTGTCCTTCAATATGTAAAAATCTAGAAAACATGTAAAATGTAATATAAAAAAGGCTTCAACAATGGTTAGCACTAAATTACATTTTGATTTTACGGACATGTGGAAAATTGGATCGACTCTTAAAAGCGGGGAGATTGTGGTTTTAACACAAAAAAGCAAATTAGGACTAAAGACTTGTCTGAGAATAATAGAAGGAAATAGGGGCTTTCAGTTAATGAGTTAATGAGAGCCATATACACATACAAATAATACTGAAACTTAATGCTTTCTCTTTCAAAAAAAAAATAGAAAACTGTTTTTGTTTTAGACGAGATAAATGGAACACAGCCATATTTTCATTTTTATGTTTACGTTTTTTGTAACTTACATGACAAACTCGGTGATGAATGCTGCATCAGGAAGAGTGACATCGAACTTAGCCTCTACCGACTTGTTATCGGTATTTGCGACAGTACTGGTAACAAGCGTTGTGGCAAACCTGTATCTGATATCAGATTGAACATGAAGAGAAGTGATTTCTAGGTTCTGAAATTAACAAAGTATAAGTTGAATAGCCGAATACTAGTACCTAAAACAATTATCACTTAATTGATTATTTTCATCTTATATAGAAGTATAGTTTAAACATGGAGACAAAAATAAGTTTTCACTTAATAAATATTTAAAGAGTTGGTTTTGTTTGTTTTCGTGACAATGGCAAATATTGCATGCATATTTAGAGGAAAATATTACAAGACTATCCATCTGAGAGTTGTACAAAAAGCAAAAAAAAAAAATGTTTTCTAGTGTCATTGTTTTGATTGGCTACTGTCTTTTTGATTAATCCACCTTTGTCCATTTTTATTTAAATTCATGTGCAATTCATTACAATTAAGGTCTATACATGTAGGAAGAGAATGAGTGGTAACAAATTTATTGTGTGTTTGACTTAAATTGTATCTGAAAAATACTGGTCATCATTTATATAATAATTCAATGTTTAGAACGAGAGGTTCTTATTGGAGTTTAAGTAAGTTCGATACCTTAAGCATAACTCCTGAGCAATTAAAGTTGCTTTGTTGAGAATATTATTGATAACATAGCAAACTAATAAACGTTATATCATGAAGAATTTATAAATTTTGTGGATTTCAATATTTAAGGCTTTTGTATGTTATTAGGGCTTAAGACAAAAAAATTGTATCTGGTATATTTCGATGTAATCAAATAATAAAGCCGACTCGATAAAACTATCGAACTAAATGTACAAGATCATGAATGTGCTTGACAAATACCAATGCAAAGAAATAAGGTTTGTATTGCTGTTTTCATCTCAAAGTCAAAGTGAGGCCTGGAAAATTGAACAGAAAATCACACGTGCACCCGACTACAAATGTAAGACCACCTGGCAAGGTTTTCTGTCATATGTCGATATTGCAGGGAACAATCAACAATTATAGGTTATATTGGACAAGATAATTTAACAAATGCTGTCATAACGTGCCCTACAATCTCTGCACAAAATAAAGAAACAAAACAAACATATAGAAAACCAAAGGAACACATCTAGATTTAAAATAAAGTATGATCACGCTGCATCTGCCCATTGAAAAACAGTTGTGTGGTGAAATCATCAAATTAAAAATGTTATCGTCTTATGAAAGGTATGTCTCTCAATTTTTAAATACTTCTTATTAACTTCAACAGGATTAAAATGAAGTAGGTTTAGTAGAGACTTGAACAAATCTGGCCAAGAGTTATTATCAGCTTGTATATCGGAATTATAATAACTCCTTGCCACTTGATACAATATATGTACTGTTAATAAAGATGTCAAGTGCATAGTGTTGATTCATATTTATATATAATTGGGAAATATATAGAGACATGAAAAATGATTCATTCCACTTTTCAAACTAAAAAAGGAAAAAAGAACTCACATTTTATGTGAATGAATTGATGTTCTAATAGGTCATCAAGAAGATTTTTTTCCTTTCAATACATGTGTTGTTAAGCAGGTTTAATGCAGGCGGTACTATTCGATTAATGGCATTCTGCGTGGAAATATTGAAAATACTTGATTTAGGTTTCCAAAATAAATTATCATTTTTTAACTTTCAGGTAGGGACCATTTCGCCTGAAATTATGTCACATTTTCAATACTTACAAATAAATTTTATTAAACTTCACAGTATTACATCTTTTTTTAGTAGTGCATTTGGCGTTCTAAAACATTTTGGCTTATTCCTAGTATATACTCAAGTTAACATAAATCATATAGTAAGGACCTAACTAGAAATCTCTAAACCATCAAAGGTAACGTAATTAAAACATGAATAAAGGCGAAATTCCCGAGAAGCGAGGGGACGATTTCCTTGTAAAGCTCAATTATATACATTAAACAATTAACTATCTACATACGTGTAGTTAAAAATGAAGCACTGACCGACTATAATCACATTAAATGTACCTATCTTACTAAAAAGGTAAAGAGCTTGTAAACCAAAAACGACTAAAATTATAGCCAAAGACGGGTAAGGAATCAGAGCTTTCAATGGGGGAGATATATTCCTCAATTTAAAACAATTTCTAAAACATTTTAGCAGCAAATTTTAATAACACAATTTCTGTATTTTCATGCCAGTGCCGAAGTCTTGATTAGCAAACACTCATACAACATATCCTATTTTTATATCGCATGCTTGGTCATTAAAAAAGTCAACGTTTATGACCTTAAATGATGTCTCATTATGAAATATGCTTGATATTCCTTCCGTGTTTCTTATCTTCGTGTTGTACTTAGTAACGTATCCATCGGCGGATCAAGGGGGTGGGGTTGTTCTGGGGATAGGAACTCCTTTTTTTCGATGTTTTTTTTATTAATATTATTATCATGTGCACGTTTCATGGTGTTCCGGGGTTGGAACCCCCATTTTCAAATGGCTGGATCCGCTCCTGTTATGAGAAAATTTAAAAAGTGTGACCTCTCTTTCTAGTAAAAGACAGTCATGTTTATTCTTTACATCTACATATTTCTGCATATAAATGTTTTTTTAAAAAAATTTTACCATTATACTTATCCAAAGACATACATAAATGATATATTATAATGAAAACAACAAAATTGAAAACTTACCTTACTTTTGGAATTTACAATTGTAAAGAACAGAAAAACTAAACATGTAAATCTTGCATCCATGTTGTTGCATGAGATGCTGTAGATTAATTACGATTCACAAAAACATCTTTTTGTATCTCAAGTCTTTAACATGTTTAAGATTGAATACAAATGATGTAAGATGTAAGGAGATATTTCCCTACTTCTGATTACGCAGTCGTGTGTACGTATACTTCATATACCTGTAACTGTTAATAGGAATGAAGATATATTTCATTACAATGATATTTAGCTGTCCTATAGACGTATTCTCAACATAGCTTATAATTCAAACTTGTGTAATGCAGATAATAATAGTTTTTACATTTTTTGTTGTTTTTTTTGAAAGACGTTGAATAAACCAATACGCTTATCTCCCGTTGGTAGATAGTAGAATGTGATTGTATATTGTGATATCTTTTATTTGTGTTGCTTGCAATTACATCATAGTTTTAATTAGTTCCGAGTCAATGTGCTGATTCCGATCCCTTTTCACACACACTAGGCATTGATAGAGGCAACTTTGTGATCATCGTCAATTTTCAAAATGATAACTACGGTATGTTTCAGATAATTACGATCCTGGCCATTTGGACCTCCCAATTTTGTTAACGATTTTGGAGGGAAGCGGGTTTGAATAGATTTTACTGAACAGCTCATAGTCTTCTTTGTTGGAACTGAAAGTGGAGGTTGAAAAAAGGAACTGGAAAAACGATTTGTAAACAAAACCTGGATCGCAAAATTCGCAGATATGGACAAATGAATTAGCGACTTACCTCAAGCCTTGCATAACAGCATTCCTCGATAGATTTTACAAGTGATTAGGAACAAAAAACATAATAATATAATATTAAGTTACGTAATTTTTTAATTTGTATTCATGCGCAGATCTACGATGAGTGGTGGCCAATTTGGGTATTTTACAAATACATATGGTGTACGACTATTTTATTTAAAATAAAATGTAAAGACTTGTGTATTACAAAAGTAAAAGCATTAACACTAATTTATGATCACCCATTACGCATTAGGGACATATGATTTTTTTTTATAAAATCAAAGTACAAAAATATAGGACAAAACAACAAAAGTAAAAACTGTGAAGATTAATTGAAGAGTTTAGAATAAGTATCTTGGTAATGATTCAACGTATGAACGACCAACCAATTCATGATGGCGACCGTACAACTTTCGAAGTAATGACTTCTCCTTTACCATTTTAAATATTTGGTTCAATAGCAAACATGAGAGCACCAGCCTCCATTTAAGAAAATCATGACAGGAAAAGCAAGTCATAGAATATCGTAACAGAAACTGGGAGATATATACTCTATAATATTTTAAATAATATGTAATGCATTAGCTTTGTGAGAATTAAGATAAAGATATACTTGTCAATGTGAGTTGCTGGAATGCTGTCACATAAAAATGCAAATTCATAATAGAAATTGGGGATTCACCTGAATTTATCTCTCATTCTGTATACCCTATCTAGAACTTTTTAGATTGTTTTATGATTACACAGTATAAATAATATTCATTTACTAAGCCAAAGGATTTTCAACTCAAGGAATATATTACCTTAGCTGTCTTCGGCAAAACTTTTCGTGATTTTGGGTCCTCAATTCTCTTCACCTTCGTACTTTATTTGGCCTTTTTAACGTTTATGATTCGAGCGTCACTGATGTGTTCTTTGTAGACGAAATGCGCGTCTGGCGTACAACATTTTAATCCAGGTATCTACGATGAGTTTATTTGTAAATTAATATATTATATTAAAATAAAAACAAATTTTATTTGCCACAGATGGTTAAAAAAATGTATCAGAACTCCTTTCTATGATATATTGTTTTTTTTTTATAATAACTACTGGTGCCCCCTATACAATGTACACTAAGAAAACATATACATGAGCAAATCTTATGTAAATGCTAATTAAAATTGCAAAAAATTGGGACATCGTGGTTCCTGTATACATATGAATAGACCTTATCGCTATTTCGGAATCTGCGACACTAGACCTATTGACGTCATACAACAATTACTTTTTCTTTGTGGCGTTACACATTTTCAATTGTGACGTCAAAATTTTACAGGAACCTTTGTGATGTCCAGTAATGGCGGACAAATAGCAATTAGGTGAATAAAGTTCCGTGTGCGTTTTGCAGTGTATTGGATCGCGAATCATTGTCTATAAATCGAATCGTTGGCTTAAATACTAAAATCCTTCGCCTTCTTAAAATCCTATTGTATCAAATGAGTTTTGTAATACACTGGCGCAATAAAAGTGATTCATTTTTAGCTAACAATACAGTAACAACATAAACACCACAATATAATGACAACAGTTTCAAGTTATTCAAAACACTCGGCTTTCAAGCATGCATATCAGGTACGATATACTTTGAAATATTTTCATCTAACAGGCCTTCCATAGGCTGGGGGACATTCCAACATATTGTGTCCTCTCCAGTAATCACGTTTTGTTTCTGGTCCAAATTCGTGTAGAAACGATAAGCATGACCATCTCCAACTTCCAAGAAATGACCATGTTCATTACCCTGGTTATCCAATGTAATCTGGAACAGCTTTGTCGATTTGTGTACAAGTTCTCCTAAAACAACACAATTTACAATAAAATTATGTGACAACCAAAGCTGAGGTTAGTAATTTTCAGTATTTCTATAAGAATGACTGTAATATGTTTTCTGTCTATGAAGAAATAACAACAAAAATGTGATGCACACTGAATAACTCGCGTATTCTTTATAATTTATTCTTAATTCCATTTCAAGGCGTAAATCATGATAAAACATTGATGACGTCACGGTTACATGACAAATGGATGTCTATTTGCTAATAGATAATAGACAAAAAACTTTTTCAGCCAATCAGAAGATGTGTTACATCCTAAATTAAATTATTTTGTAATACTGGTACTAACATGACACATGAGATATAAAAACCCGCCACATAAAATTGTGCCTGTCCCAAGTCAAGGACTTTTTTGACTAAAACATAATCCGTGGATTACCGAAGTCGTTTTTTTACACCTAGCAGAAAAGATAATTTTCTGTACATTCTTTTATAAAAAATAAGTATCTTAAATGTCTTTCCTTCTTAAGCAATACCGAAATATTAAACAAAAATATCTGTACTAACATGACACATGCGATATAAAAACCTGCCACAAAATCATGAGCCTGTCCAAAGTCAAGGAACTTACTACTTGACTAAAACATGAAAATGGGATTACCGAAGTCGTTTGACATCTAGCAGAAAAAATAATTTTCTGTACATTCTTTTATAAAAAAAAGTATCTAAAATGCCTCTCCTTCTTAAATAATACCAAAAATTAAAAAAAATTTCTGTATTTGTGAAGAAAAAAAAATTAGTACCACATACAGCCTTACTATATGATAATAGCATTTTGTTATATCATTGTTATAAAGTTCCTCACCAAGTACCCCTGATGCAAACTGTGATATTCCTGTCTCTTTTTCTATATAGATGTTCAAGTAACTCAAGGCCATGTTTGTATCCTGTTTCATATGTCGTCTGATGGTAACGATGATGTCATTTCCAAAGTCAATTGTCATAGTTCTGTCATGGCGACCAACAAACTTGACGATTATAGCAACATTTTCCATTCGAAAAACGTCTTTGTCATCCCAAGATAGGGATGCAGCATTGAAATAAATGCTACTAGGTTTTACTAATATTTCCACAGATGGCGCACGTAAAACAAGTTCACCGAAGAATGTTTTCAAGTCTCCGTGTTCATTTCTAGCTGTCGATTCCACAACTCCAGCATTAATAGTAACACCTTTAGAAATATTAAAAGGAAAAAAAAACATAATATGTTTTGTTATAGTTTGAGCTTTAAAACTGGAGTGAGAAATGAAAAATATGAAACTGTATCTATTTTAAAATAAAAAGTGTTCTAAATACAGAAATTTTGGTTTTGATAGAAGACAACTAATAATTATTCAATTGGTATTGTACCGAGCGATTTAAATAAATCGCATTAGTGATACCAAGAATGCTGAGTATCAAAAGAATTGTATCAGGACCATAACTACCAACATGGTTGCTTAAAAAGACGTGAATGTCATATCAAAGTAAAAGTTATAACTTTCTTCATCTAGTCGCAAAAAAAATAATCTCGAAATATGATTAATGGTTTTTATGGGAACATTAAAGGAGAAGGTATAATAAGGCCGCCTTTTTTTTTCCCTTGATTTTGAAAATCTTGGAGTATTTCAAATTTATCAAATAACATTCTTCTTAGTATGTAGTCTTGTATGTTTTTTTATTTTTAGTTCATTTATATGTTTCGGAGTTTAGTGTGACGTCTATTTTCGCTGGACTAGTACACATTTTTGTTTAGGGGCCAGCTGAAGCTCGCCTCCGGTAGCGGGATTTTCTCGCTGTATTGAAGACCCATTGGCTGTTTTCTGCTCTTTGGTCGGGTTGTTGTCTCTTTGACACATTCCTTATTTCAATTCTCAATTTTATTCAGATGTTTATAAGACATTAGTCTGTCAGATATCAGTATTTTTTAATTTTGTATAACATATTTACAGTAGAGCTTCAAACTTCAAGTTTTTAGTGCAAACTGCACACAGACTGCTAAAATAACCTCGTTGTGAAATTTTGAATATAATATTTAGATATGAGCCAAGGCTTTATCCACAAATATAATTTGACACACAATTTATGCAATTTAAATGCGGCTTCCCATAACATTCGAGTATCTGATCACATTACTTATTTCTATGTTATTTTTTATTAAAACTTGAACTGTTATGTTTTCATATTTACTAAATTGTTGACGAAGCCAACATTCGATTTTGTTAAAGAAATGTTAAATATTTGACAATTTGAAGGCTTGATGGTAAAATATAATGAAACATAAACTATATATATTCTCAGATTAAAATTTACCTTAATCTATTCATTACGACTTTTCATTGAAAAACGCATTCTTGCATTTAATATCTCCTTCATTGATGTTTTTTTATCAATTGTTGGTATATAAGCGTCCAGTGGGAGACATTTGATATATGCTAAGAACACGTACTGATTTTGAATAAATTATCAATCAGATGTAACTGGAGATAAAACAAATCGCATGTACAAC